CTTGGGGACTGAGGGGTCCCGGGTTCAATTCCGGTCAGGGGCATGTACCTTGGTTGCGGGCATATCCCCAGTAGGGGGTGTGCAAGAGGCAGCTGATCAATGACTCTCATCGATGTTTCTAACTCTCTATCTCTCTTCCTCTCTGTACAAAATCAATAAAATATATCTTTTAAAAAAAAGAAAAAAGAAAAGGATTCCCTCGGAAGGCCGTGTTGTCATCCTTACAGGATGGCCAAGGCCAAGAAAGGGGAGAGGCAGGAAATAAACAAGGACCCAACTCACTCAAACCACCGAGTAATAGGACATCAGAGTCGGAGGGCCCTGAAATGCTTAGTGACAGCTATGACATCAAACCTTTGGAAGGTGCCATTCATTCATTTCTCACACCGTCACGGAATTCTAGTTTGCTAGTGAGACAAACCACAACAGAAAGAGCTGGACAGTGGGGACAATGAAACCCTGAGGTCCAGGAGTCAGAATACCAGATCCTGGGATGTTGATCATGGAGGGCTTCATGGAGGAAGGGACACGACACCAGGGTGCACTGGGATTTATGTGGACTCAGGTAATTAAGGTCTCCTGGCATAATGATAGGTGGGAAAGAGAAAATGTAATAAAATATAAATTAAAATAGAACGTAGAACATATCATATTCTCCCCAACCCCATCCCCAGAGGGGAGGGAGAGAGCTAGGAGACCTGGGAGTCTGAACCGCTCTCCCCCGCCCCCCAGCCCGTGAAGGTATCTGAGGGGCAAGCAAGAGTGAATTGGGTTGTTTTTCTTGAAGAAGTTTCTCCCGGTGATTCAACTTTTCCCCACGGCCGGCTCAAAGACAGGATTAAGAAAAGAAAAGGAGCCCTAGCCAGTTTGGCTCATTGGACAGAGCGCTGGACTGCAGACCAAAGGGTCCCGGTTCCATTCCGGTCAAGGGCACGTACCTCGATTGCAGGCTCTTCCCTGGCCCGGGCCCAAGGATGCATTTCTCTCACATCGATACTTCTCTGTCTCTCCCTCTCTCTTCCACTCTCTCTAAAATCAAAATGGGAAACTGTCCTTGCGTGAGGATTAAAAGAAGAAGAAAAGAAAAACAATCCGAAGGACCTGGGGCGCCTCCAGCTTGGCGTCCCTTGGGGTTTGCAAGGATCCCCCGGGGTCCCAGGACCTGCCAAAGCGCCCGTGGCCAGGAGCGCCCCCGGCTGCCTCCCCGCACCGCAGGCCGACCCCTGACCCCTGACCCCCGACCCCCGACCCCCGACAGCTCCCACCTGCGCCGCCGGGCGGGGCGGGGCGCGCTGGCTCCGCGGCCGCAGTGTCGCCGCAGCGCCCGCCCCGCCCCGCCCGCTCCTCCCCCTCCGCCTCCCCCGGGCGGCCGGTCCCCAGCGGCTCCGGAGCGGACGCCGGCGCCAGCCCAGGTGAGCGCCCTCCCGGCCCCGGGACCCCGGGACCCCGGGCCCCTGACCCGCCACCGCGGCCCGACCCTGCGACCCCGCCACCCCGACTCTGTCCCCGGCCACGGCCCCGCAGCCTCCGCGCCTCGGGCGAGCCTGCCCGCGAGCTCGCGGTCCTCGGACCTGGGGCTGCGCTCTGAGGGCTGAGGTTCGACAGCGGGGGGGGGGGGGGGAGAAGAGCTGGGGGGGGGGGCGCCCCTCTTCCCCCTCCCCTCCCCCGCCGGCCCTCCCCGCCAGCCGCGCGGCCCTACTGTGTGGCATCGCCCGCTCCTGGGCCACCCGGTCTGGCGGGGCGACCGGGACGATGCGGGAAGGGCATCTCAGGTAGCGGGACTGCACGTGCAGAGGCGGGGAGAGTGCACGGAGGGGCTGTGCCCGGGCAGGGGGAGGAGGTGAGGGGTTTGAGGAGTTTGAAGCCGTCGGGAGGAAGAAGGCTGGAAGTCCCCGGGGGCCTGAGCTGGGCAGGAGCCTCCGGGGCGGGTAGGAGAAGGGCCCCTGTGGCCCTCGGGGAGGAGTGAGACCAGGAGACAAGAGGGGGGCAGTGCAGAGGAGGGGGCAGATCCACCCCAGCCTGCACTACCCGGGCCGGGGAGGGGGTTCTGGGACAGGACACGGGCCCCTAGTGGATTGGACAGGCAACTGTTACCAACTTTCTTACATGGGGCAGCTCATGGGCAAGGGGCAGACAGCAAACACTTGGGGTCCCACCCTGGCCGGGGTGTCTAAGGTGGTGGGAGTGCCCTCCTGAGCACGGAAGGGTCTTGGTTTCATACATATTGCAAGTTTCTGGGTTCCATCTCTGATCAGGGGGCATACAGGAGGCAACTGATGGCTGATTCTCTCACACATTGATATTTCTCTCTCTCTCTCTCTCTCTCTTTCTCTCTCTCTCTTAAATATTATTATAATTTACCTTTAGCAAGTTGGATTTAAAGATCTTTATTTATTTTTAAAATATATTTTATTGATTTTTTTACAGAGAGGAAGAGAGAGAGATAGGAAATTAGAAACATCGATGAGAGAGAAACATCAATCAGTTGCCTCTTGCAAACCCCCTACTAAGGATGTGCCCACAACCAAGGTACATGCCCTTGACCAGAATCGAACGCTGGACCCTTCAGTCCGCAGGCCGACGCTCTATCCACTGAGCCAAACCAGTTTCGGCTCTCGCTCTTTCTCTCTCCCTCTCTCCTCTCAAATAATGAATAAAAAAAAGACATATCCTCAGGTGAGGATTTATTTTTATTTTTTTAAAATATATTTTATTGATTTTGTACAGAGAGGAAGGGAGAGAGATAGAGAGTTAGAAACATCGATGAGAGAGAGTCCTCGATCAGCTGCCTCTTGCACACCCCCCACTGGGGATATGCCCGCAACCTAGGTACATGCCCTTGACAGGAATCGAACCCGGGACCCTTCAGTCCCCAAGCCGACTCTCTATCCATTGAGCCAAACCGGTCTCGGCTCAGGTGAGGATTTAAAAACAAACAAACTTGGGGTTCCCTCCTGCCATGTCCCTGGCAAGGATCTGCCTTTGCGTGAGGGTGCCTGAGCCTGCAGGAAGCAGGAAGACGCCAAGCTGGCTTAGCACACAGTAGGCCTGAAGAAGGTTCCAGCCCCACAAATCTGTTTCCAGGCCCACGGCTCTGGGGGGAAGGGGGGCTCCAGACACCTGAGCACCTGGGAAGGGAGGGAACAGCCTCGCCAGGCACCTGGTGTCCAGGTGGGTCCCACCTTCTCTGGGCCCTGTGGCAGGAAGGACGTGGGCAGAGCTGAGCTGGAGGTGAAGCCAGGACCCGGGGAGAGGCCTCCTTGTGCCCAGGGAGGGTGCAGGCAGGGCAGGTGGTGGCCACACTTTGCAAACCCACCTTGGTGATGAGCGGGGGGAGAGGGCATGGGTGTGCCCAAGTAGCCTCGGTGCCACTGCTTCCTGGACTGTAAGGACTGCCACCGGAGCAGGCCAGATCAGGTGCCAGGCAGGAGGTGGTCCTCCCCCCACCTTTTCCCAGGGTCCTTGCTGGGATCTGGGCTGGACCTAGCAGGCTTCAGCTGCACCTCGAGTTAGACTTTAGGACGAACTTCCAGGGAAAGCAAACGCGATCGATGGCTGTGGGGCAGCCTGTGCGGCAGTCCTTTGTAAACAGGGCAGCTGAATTCTTCTCCTGAGTCTTGCAAAGTCCAGTCTTTGGGATGGTCCATCCCGTGGCCTTGGCTGCAGGGATCTCTTTGTTGACCTGGTGACCCTTCCCCCAGGCTCTGCGGCTTGCAAGGTGATATGTTGGCTTCTTGGGTCCCTGCCCATCTTGGAACTAAGGGGGGAGAGGGAGGGGGGGCCACCCAGACGCTCCTACCTGCTGCTTGACTTTGGCGAGTCCTTGGCTCCTCTGTTTATCCATCTGCTGTGGGGCATGGCCTCAGTGTCGTGGGCCTGGTGGGCATTTGTGAAGAGTGAAGATGGGGGTGGGAGCTCACGGCTGCTGGGCATAGTCTGTGGCAGGACTGTGTGCCTGGGCTTGCCGCCCACTTCTGCTCACCATGGAGCTGGGTTTCCCTGGGGACCAGTGGCCTGGCCCAGCCCCACCCGCCCCTACCCCTCCTGGCAGCAGCTCCCCCTGGGAGGAGGGGCAGAGGCTGGGCTGCCTCCTGGACCCCTTGCCTGGCTTCCAAGGCCTGGCAGCCTGGGTCTGCGTCTGGGCTGGGAGCAAGAAGCAGTGGCTGCCCTTAAAGGAGGTGGGTATCCAGGGAGGGTGGGTGCAGGGACCAGGGAGAACTGAATGGCATCCCACTGGAGGAAGAGGAAGCCCGAGGACCAGGAAGGCCCTCATCTGCCCTAGGGGATCTGGTGTTTGACCCCGGCTATGGTGGCCTCCCTGGAGAAAGGAGGATTGCAGGGCTCCCAGGCTTCAAGATTTAAAAAAGTATATATTTTATTGATTTTTTTACAGAGAGGAAGGGAGAGGGATAGAGAGTTAGAAACATCAGAGAAACATCGATCAGCTGCCTCCTACAAACTCCCCACTGGGGATGTGTCCGCAACCAAGGTACATGCCCCTGACTGGAATTGAACCTGGGACCCTTGAGTCTGCAGGCAGACGCTCTATCCACTGAGCCAAACCGGTTAGGGCCAGGCTGCAGGATTTTGAGGGGGCAGCAGAAACAGGGGAGTTCCAGGACAAGGCAGCTGTGGGGCTGGACTTAAAAGTCTGGCAGATTCCTCTGGCCGTGGGCACCGCCCAGGCAAAGGTGGGAGTGGGGAGTGAGGGTGCTGAGCCTGGAGGGCATTCCTCTGGGGCCTGGCTCCCTGTTTGAAATATTCCCCAGCTCCAATGTGGGCCTCTTCTAGGAGTCTGTCTCTCTGTGTTTCTACTCACATCCCCACCTAAGCCCTTCCCCTCTCTCTACCCCTACAGGTCCTGAAGGCAACTCCAGTTGGGGATGGCAACATCAGCGTTTCTAAGGGCTGTGGGGGGTCCAGCCCCTCTGGGGGCACCCTAGCCTCCCACCGCCCACCATCTGCGCCCCCGCCCCCTACCCACTTGAGGGCCCCTCGCCATGGGCGGCTGCTTCTCCAAGCCCAAGCCAGGTACCTCCTCTCTTCTTGCTTACCCCCTCCCTCCACCTCCTACCCTCCTCTTCTCCTCTCTCCATCTCTCCTCCCTCCTCCCGGCCACCTTCCTCCTCCCCCTCCCTCTCTGCCTCAGAAGTAGGTCAGGCCCGGTGGCAGCCGAATGTTAATGCGCTGCAGGCCAGAGGGGGTGGGGGCCTGGAGCCATCCTTCTGCCCCCCCCCCCCTCCTCCAGTGTCCCTTCCTCCTTATTCTGGGTTTTGGGAGCTGGTGGTAGGAATCACAACCGATTCTTTCTTGGAAAGGGGAGAGAGGGTTCCTCCTACCACAGGGTGGGGGCGGGTGGCGGTGTCCCCCAGGACCAGGGAAGGGGAAGGGGGGACAGACATCCTCAGCCTCTGTGGGGCCCAGGTATGCACCTGACCTCTCTGAGCCTCACTTTCCCTCTCTGCAAAAACGGACCCGGCCTCTCAGAGTTGCTGTGGGCGAGGAGTAGACAGGTCCCAGGCCTCTCCTCACCTCTTCTGACCCTCATGTGTCCGTGGACCACGCTCTCAGTCTCTCAGGGCCCACTTTTCCATGTGCACAGGGGATCCCCACCCTGCCTGGCCCACAGAGTGCCAGCCCCGGGGGCTGCTGGGCAGACCGGGGCGTCCTCTCTGATGGAGGCTCTCCTCTGCGGGGCTCTCCCTCGGGCCCCACTTCCCCTCCTCGATCCTCACAATGCCCGGGAAGGCACGGGGTGCAGGCATGCCACAGAGGAAGACACTGAGGCCACGGGGCCTCCCGAGCACCTCGGCAGCGCCCCGCCCAGCCTGTCCGGGCCACGCTGCCCAGCATGGCTCACCCCATCTCCCCTTACCAGATACCCATCGGCTCCGTTACCTTGGAACGCCTGAGCCTTTTCTCCTTTCCTGGGTCTGAGGGGACTTGGGGCAAGAGAAGTGTGACGCCCTGCCCACAGGGGAGGGGAGGGACTCCCCACGCCTGCCCTCCCCTCACTCCCGAGCTGTGGACACTCCGATCCCACCACCCTGCCCGCCTCAGCCTTCCCCCATCAGAATCGTGGCGGGAAGATGCTGGCTGGCCCTGGGCAGAAGGTGCCACCTGTAGTTTCCTTTATTTTTTTTAAATATATTTTATTGATTTTTTTTTTTTTTTTTTTTTTACAGAGAGGAAGGGAGAGGGATAGAGAGTTAGAAACATGAATGAGAGAGAAACATCGACCAGCTGCCTCCTGCACACAACCACAAGGTACATGCCCTTGACCAGAACCTGGGACCCTTCAGTCCGCAGGCCGACGCTCTATCCACTGAGCCAAACCGATTTCGGCCCAACTGTAGTTTCCTTTAAAGAAACACAAAGGCCGGCCTGCCTGGGACCCCTGGCGCCAGGATTCCTGGTTAGCATAGGAGCTGGTCACACTTACCACCCCAGAAACAAGGGCTGAGAACTTGGCCTCTCGGGTCCAAGTCCAGCCTCCTCCCTGAGTGTGTGGTCTCGGGCAGAGGTCGTCACTTCTCGGAGTCTTTGTGCTCTCACCTGTGAAATGGGGCTGATAATTCTGTACCCTCTGCAGGGTCTGGCACCTAGGCAGCCCTTGCAAAAGGTTACGATGTCCTAATTTGGGGCTAGACAGGCTGCAGCCAGGACTCCCCTGTGGGATTCTGGGGGGAGGGCAGGAGCTCAGCCCCAGGCGCATACCCTGTGCAGATCAAAGGGTGAGACTCAGGGAGTTTCAGGGAGTGGGAGCCTTTGGCCATGAGGGTTTCGCCGAGATCAGAAGGGACCACGGGGAAATCAGATAAGTGTATCTCTGTGCACATTCTTCATTTTCTACCTTGCTCACTGCACGTAGGCACACATTCCTTCCGCCCCGGGCTTCAGGGGCACTGTGCTTCTTGTAGGAAGAGTTCCAGGCCGGACTCTTGCTAAGCTCAGAACCAGGGGGAGGTGCACCTCTCTTGGTATCTTGGTCGCCTGCCTTTCATTGGGCCACAAATGCTACGGAAAAACTTTCCCTTTTCTTCACGGCTGCCAGGGAGCTCGGAGCTAGCCAGTGAACCACTATTACCCAAGTGCCTCTGTTGAGCTTCTGCTCTGGTTTACATGTTGCCTCTGTTATTCTCCTTCAGCACCCACTCGCCAGCAGGCAGCTGGGAACCATGGAGTTGGGGTTGCTTTGGCTCCTGAGGGAGCAGAGATGCTCCTCCCTTCCCCAGCAGGGCTCCTGCCTTAATGGCTTTCGGTTCGATTGCTCCAGGCCGCGTCTCGGAGCCTTCTGGAAGGAGGTGGAGGATGAAAACCACCTGGCTGGGCTCTTTTTTTTTTTTTTTTTTTTTTTATAATATGTATTTTATTGATTTTTTTACATAGAGGAAGAGAAAGAGATAGTTAGAAACTTCAGTGAGAGAGAAACATCAATCAGCTGCCTCCTGCACACCCCTTACTGCGGATGTGCCCTTGACCAGAATCGAACCTGGGACCTTTCAGTCTGCAGGCTGATGCTCTATCCACTGAGCCAAACCAGTTTGGGCCTGGCTGGACTCATACTGGGCTCTGGCCAAGAGCTGCTCTCGTGGGCTCCCGCTCTGAAGCTCACACAGCTGGTGTCCGCTGGGTTCAAAGTATTCTTCCATTTAATTCTTCTGAAAACATTCTAACGCTCTTACATAAAGTGTGGGAGACGGAGGGGAAGCCCACTCCACCCATGACCACCCCCACCTGACACAACAGCTTCAGCACGTGCTGTGCCCAGGCGCCCCCCCCCTCTGCCCAGCTGGAATCATAGAGTGGACCTTCCCTCCTGCAGTGTCGGGCCTGCGCTGGGGGCTGGAACTTGAGGAAGGAGGCTGCCCCCCAGTCTCCCGGGCCAAGCCAGGCCAGGCGCAAGGAGGGGATTAGCACAGCATGAGATGAGGGACATGCAGGGGCTGGGCAGCCAGGGGAGGCAACCCCTGAGCTGTGTCCAGGCGGCTGGGCAGGAGTGAGCCAGGGCCACAGGCCAAGGGAATTAAAGGTTGGGAGGCGTGTGCCTCTGGGTCCTTTGCTTCTGGAGTGTCGGGCTTGAGGGTGTGGAGAGGATGAGGGGGGACCCCGAGATGCCGGGAAGGAAGCTCTGGTTCCTTGGGAGTTGGGAGAGGAGCCTTCTGCTCCCTCCGTGGCCCACGCTGTGCCAGGGGCTTAGCCTTCCTCCCCGCTGCAAGCAGCCCAGGAGGCCGGATTATCGCAGCTCAAAATTCTGTTTATTGTTCCCTTCTAATTGGAAAAATACCCCAGGCGCATGGTAGGGAATTTGGAAAATGCAGAAAAGTATCAAGAAGAAAACGACAGTCTCTGGCCACTCTCCGCTGGAGCTGGCCCCGAGGGCAGGCTGTGGAGGGGCTGGTGTGTGTGTGCATGTGTATGTGTGTGTGTGTGCGCGCGCGCGGCTCTCTGCTCTATCCACGTGTACCCCCAAGGTCCCAGACCCCTGCACAGGAAGATGCTGAAAAACCAGGGCTGGGCTTGGTAAATGCGGAAGGATTCTCAAACTGGTGAGAATAGCTATTTTTTAAAAAAGTTGACATTATGTCGTGTATACTTTTTCTGAATTTGGAAAAAAAAAAATTCAAATCTATGGGGAAGTTGCAAACCTAGAACCACGAACCCTCGATTTCCCATCACCCAGATTCACGGGCCAGGACCTGAGCTACACGAAATTTGGGATGCCCTGTTCTCACTGGAGTCAGACCCTGAACCTGCCCCTGATCCCTCAGCGATGGCGTTATCCTCCATCAGGGACGTGTCCTGGGAGTCTGAGCAAGTCTCGGGGCCCCAGGGCTTTTCCTCCACACAGATCCCCGGAGGAAGGGCCATGTCAGGGTGGAAGGAGTTTGGTTTGTACCCCGCTCACTAATTCTGTTATTGAAAAGGATGCATGCAGCCGAAACTGGTTTGGCTCAGTGGTCTGCGGACTGAGAGGTCCCAGGTTCGATTCTGGTCAAGGGCATGTACCTTGGTTGCGGGCACATCCCCTGGTGGAGGGTGTGCAGGAGACGGCTGGTCGATGTTTCTCTCTCATCGATGTTTCTCTCTCATCGATGTTTCTAACTTTCTATCCCTCTCCCTTCCTCTCTGTGAAAAATCAATAAAATTTATTTAAAAAAAAAAAAAAGAAGAAGAAGAAGAAAAAAAGAAAGAAATCATGCAGAGATCAGTTCAGGCCCACCTTGCGGCCCCTGACTGCTTCAGGCCTGTTGTAAGGCTCCTTGCTGGTGGAGTGGGTGGGGAGGTGGGCGGTGGGGAGCCGGGGGGCCCACCGTGTCCCTCCCTCCCCACAGTGGAGCTCAAGATCGAGGTGGTGCTGCCTGAGAAGGAGCGGGGCAAGGAGGAGCTGTCAGCCGGCGGGAAGGGCAGCCCCCGGGCCTACCAGGGCAACGGCACCGCCCGCCACTTCCACACGGAGGAGCGCCTGCCCGCCCCGCACCCCTATCCCGGGGCTCAGGACTGCGTGGAGGCCGCCGTCTGTCACGTCAAGGACCTGGAGAATGGCCAGTGGGTGCAGGGCCTGGGGCCGGGGTCAGAGGGCCCCAGGTGGGGAGTGTGGACGGGGCGGCCTGGAGGGGGCCCAGGGCTAGCTCCCAGCCTGGCCAGCGCCTTGTGGCTTCTGCTGGTCGGGGCCTGTGCTCCCCAGAAGGCTGCATTCTGGACGGAGGCGCTGGCAGGAGGCGGTGCCTCCCATCTGGGCTAAATCCTGAGCGCAGCCCCTCCCCAGGATGCGGGAAGTGGAGCTGGGCTGGGGGAAGGTGCTGCTGGTGAAGGACAACGGGGAGTTCCACGCCCTGGGCCACAAGTGTCCGCACTACGGCGCCCCCCTGGTGAAAGGTGAGTCGTCTGGGTCTCCTGACGTGGGCTTGGCCACTGCCCCCTGAAGCCCCAGTGCCACCCGGCCGGGTCCAGCGTGGCTCCTCCCCGGCCTCCAGCTCCCCACCTGCTGGCGGGGGGGGGGGGGGGTGTCTCTGGGGCCGTGTGGAAGGAGGGCCAGCAGGTGCTGGGACACAGGAGACCTCGGAGAGGGGCTCCTGCAGGTGACCCCGGCTCAGCGCTGCCTCCCCCCAGGCGTGCTGTCCCGGGGCCGGGTGCGCTGCCCCTGGCATGGCGCCTGCTTCAACATCAGCACCGGGGACCTGGAGGACTTCCCCGGCCTGGACAGTCTGCACAAGTTCCAGGTGGGGCTGGGTGTGCGGTGGGTGGGAGCCTGGGGGTGCGGGGCCAGGGACCGAAGCACCCAGAGCCTGGTTCTGAGCCCCTCCGCTTGCAGGTGAAGATTGAGAAGGAGAAGGTGTATGTCCGGGCCAGCAAGCAGGTGAGGGTGTGGCCCGGGGGTGTGGCCGGGGCTCAGGTAAGAGGGAGAGAGGCCGAGGTGGGCGCCTGGGCCCAGGGAGCAGCTTGTGTGAAGCCCTGTGGCGGGAGGGAGCCCGGTGAGTGTGGCCGGGGAGCAGAGTGAGGGGTGCAGGGTGGGGATGAGGCTGGACCGCTGGGATTACGGCAGGGAGGTCGGGGCGGGCGTGGCCCCAGCTCCCAGCTGCCCCCCACTCTCCGGCGGCGGCTCCTAGGCCTTGCAGCTGCAGCGAAGGACCAAGATGATGGCCAAGTGCATCTCTCCCAGCGCTGGCCACAGCGGCAGCACCAACGTGCTCATCGTGGGCGCAGGTGGGTGCTGGGGCCGAGAGACGCAGGGTGGGGTGGGGAGAGGTGGCCCCTGACCCACACCCCCTCGTCCCCTCAAGGTGCTGCGGGCTTGGTGTGTGCGGAGACCCTGCGGCAGGAGGGCTTCTCGGACAGGATCGTCCTGTGCACGCTGGACAGGCACCTCCCCTATGACCGGCCCAAGCTCAGCAAGGTGGGGTGGGGTGAATGTGGGGGGGTGGGGGCTCTATCCCTCTGGATGTAATCAGGCCCCCTCAGAGCCTTGCTTGCTGCCCATTGGGGGTCCAGCCTGCTGCCCTCCCCTCATGCCAGGCCCCAGAGTTTGAAGATCTGCATTTGTTTTTTTTTAAATAGTTTATTGATTCTTTTACAGAAAGTAGAGGGTTAGAGAGTCAGAAACATCGATGAGAGAGAAACATCAATCAGCTGCCTCCTGCACACCCCCTACGGGGGATGTGCCTACAACCAAGGTATATGCCCCCTACCGGAATCGAACCTGGAACCCTTCAGTCCGCAGGCCGGTGCTCTATCCACTGAGCCAAACCGGTTTCGGCTAGTTCTGGGTTGGCTGAGTTAGGTCCTGCAGCCCCTGAGTGACCTGGGCCCGGCCCCACCCTCTCGGGTCCCAGGTCCTCTGTTGCAAAACGGAAGGCTGGCAGCTTGGCTCCGTCTCAGGCTGGCTCTCTCCTGCAGTCCCTGGACGCCCAGCCGGAGCAGCTGGCCCTGAGGCCCAAGGAGTTCTTCCGAGCCTATGGCATCGAGGTGCTCACGGAGGCGCAGGTGGGGACCAAGCTGGGCAGCCCTGAAGGCCGTGAGGTCGCGTAGGCTCCTAGAGATGTGGGTGTGCTCTGCCCTCCTGGCCTCGCTGCCCAGGCACCCGGGGGCAGGGGCGGGGGCAGGGGTGAGGAGCCCTCAGGCCTGGAAGGCTACACTGGATCTCCCGTTGGTAGGGTCCTGGACACATGTCCCAGGTCCCCAGTGTGGGGACATAGATGATTTGCTTGGGGCTGGGATGGAAGAACCTGGTGGGACTTGGGAGGATAAGATGGGCTTTAGGGAAAGGTGATGTTTGAAGCTTAAAGCGTGAGGAGGGCCCTGGCCAATTTGCTCAATGGTTAGAGCACCAGTCCTCGGACTGAAGGGTCAGGGGTCAGATTCCAGTCAAGAGCAGGTACCTGGGTTGTAGGCTCAATCCCTGGCCCCGGTGGGGGTGAGTATGGAAGGCAACCGACCAATGTGCTTCTCTCACATCAATGTGTGTCTCATTCTCACCCTCCTTTCCACTCTCCCTAAAAAAATAAATAAATAAAAATCCTTGGGTGAGGATTACCAAAAAATAGATAAAAAGGGTGGGGAGGAACTGCCAGGTGAAGGAGGAAGGACAACCCAGGGGGCAGGAAAAGCCCCCCGGAGCTGCGGAGAGGGACTGGCCGGGCCCTGGTGCTGCAGGAGCCAGCCGTGGGCGGCCAGGCCAGGTCCATGCTCTGTCTCGGGCGGGGCGGGGGTTGCAGGTGGTCACGGTGGACGTGAGAAACAAGAAGGTCGTGTTCAAGGACGGCTTCAAGCTGGAGTACAGCAAGCTTCTGCTGGCTCCCGGGAGCAGGTGCGAGTGTGTGCCCTGCGGGCCCCTGCCGGCCACCAGGCGGGGCACCGGCCAGGACGGGCGGGCGGGCTCAGGGTGCCGGACGGAGCCCCTCGCTGACCCTGGCCGTGTCTCAGCCCCAAGACCCTGAGCTGCAAAGGCAAAGAGGTGGAGAACGTGTTCACCATCCGGACGCCGGAGGACGCCAACCGCGTGGTGAGGCTGGCCCGGGGCCGCAACACCGTGGTCGTGGGCGCCGGCTTCCTAGGTGAGTGGCTGTGCATCGGGGGGAGGGGGGGAGGGGAGGGCGCAGGACCGGGGGGTGCAGGGTGCCAGCCGCTGCCTGCACCTCCGGCCCAGGGATGGAGGTGGCCGCCTACCTGACGGAGAAGGCCCACTCGGTGTCCGTGGTGGAGCTGGAGGAGACGCCCTTCAGGAGGTTCCTGGGGGAGCGCGTGGGCCGTGCCCTCATGAAGGTGAGCCGGCCCCCCCCGACCCCCCGGCCCCCCGGCCCCCCCGGCCCCCCAGCTCCTCGGAAGCCTGGATGCCCAGCCCTGCCCCAGGCGGGCTCTCACCTCCCGCCCACGGCCCGCCTGCCCTGACAGATGTTTGAGAACAACCGGGTCAAGTTCTACATGCAGACGGAGGTGTCGGAGCTGCGGGCCCAGGAGGGAAAGGTGGGCCCTTCTCCCCACCCGCTCGCTGCCGCGCTGTCCCCTCTCCCTCATGCCCGGGGGCCGGGCACACCTGCTCACCCACCTCCTTCTCCCCACAGCTGAAGGAGGTCGTGCTGAAGAGCAGCAAGGTGGTGCGGGCGGACGTCTGTGTGGTGGGCATCGGTGAGTGGGTGAGCCTTGGGCCAGTCCCTTCCCTCCCTGAGCCGCAGTGGGGCTTTTTTAAAAAACATATTTTTAAATTGATTTTTTACAGAGAGGAAGGGAGAGGGACAGAGAGTCAGAAACATCAATGAGAGAGAAACAGACCAGCTGCCTCCTGCACACCCCACACCAGTGATGTGCCTGCAACCAATGCACATGCCCTTGATCGGAATCGAACCCGGGACCCCTCATCTGTAAGCTGACGCTCCATCCACAGAGCCAAACCAGCCTCAGCTCAGTGGTTTTTTGTTTTGTTTTTTGTTTTTAAAGATTTTTATTGATTTTAGAGAGGAAGGGAGAGGGAGAGGAAAAGAGAGATAGGAACATCAATGATGAGAGAAAATCATTCATCGGCTGCCTACTGCATACCCCACACTGGGGATGAAGCCCGCGCAACCCAGGCATGTGCCCTGACTGGGAATCGAACCGTGACCTCCTGGTTCATAGGTCGACACTCAACCCCTGAGCCATGCTGGCTGGGCATCCTGCACCTCAGTTTTCACAGCTGTAAAATGGGAACCACCACTATACCCTCTTCAAAGGGCGGTTGGGGAATGGGCACGCTCGCTTGGCCTTTGCCGTGGCCTGCCCTGGGAGGGCTGCAGGACACAAACATGCCTCTGGCTGGTCCCTGACCCAGCTGAGATGCGTTTGGGAAGGGACAAAGCTGGGGGTGGCGGCACAGGGCTGGGTGGCGTGGTATGCGTACCCCTGTCAGGGGACTGATACCCCAGGCCTAGCGGGAAGCACAGAGGTCTATGGGGGTCCAGGCAGAAGGGACAGGACACACACACAGGCTGCAGGGTATGCAGCCCATTGGATGGGCAGCCTCGGGCTGGGTTGTGGCAAGTGAAGGAGGGGGCTCATGCAGAGCAGTGAGACAAGGGAAGTGGACACAGAGGCCCCATCCTGGCAGGTGCGGTGCCCTCCACGGGCTTCCTGAGGCAGAGCGGCATCGGGCTGGATTCCAGAGGCTTCATCCCTGTCAACAAGGTGGGGCCGGGGAGGGTGGGAAGGGTGCTGGGCTGGGGGCAGGGGGAGGCCCAGGCCAGGGCTCCTTTCCCACTCACAGGGTCCCGGGCCCTCTGCCCACAGATGATGCAGACCAATGTCCCCGGCGTGTTTGCGGCCGGAGACGCTGTCACCTTCCCCCTGGCCTGGAGGAACAATCGGAAAGTGAACATCCCACACTGGCAGATGGCTCATGCCCAGGGTATGGCCAGCCCTGCAGCAGGATAAAGTTGGGGGGGGGGGCCCTCAGTTTCTGACCTTGGGCCCTGAGTGCTGGTTGCAAAGCCATTCAAAGCTCTGTGGTGGCCTGTCTGGGCCAGTCTCCCCCTGGTGATCAAGCAGCTCACCGAGCAAGCCCTGTGAGACCTCCCTCCTGTGCTAACTGGACACCCCTTTCAGCCAGCCACAGCACCCACCCCACTTGTCCTTCCCACAATTTCTCATTTTTTTAAAAAAATATTTTTTATTGATTTTTTACAGAGAGGAGGAATAGAGAGTTAGAAACATGGATGAGAGAGAAACATCGATCAGATGCCTCCTGGGGATGTGCCCGCAACCAAGGTACATGCCCCTGACTGGAATCGAACCTGGGACCTTTCATTCCGCAGGCTGACGCTCTATCCACTGAGCCAAACCGGTTTCGGCAAACTCTCCTCTTAAAAAAATATATATTTTTATTGATTTCAGAGAGGGAGAGAGGGAGAGAGAGAGAGAGAGAGAGAGAGAGAGAGAGAGAGAGGGAGGGAGGGAGAGAGACATCAATGATGAGAGAGAAACATTGATTGTCTGCCTCCTGCATGCCCCACGCTGGGGAGCCAGCCCACAACCTGTGCATGTGCCCGGACCGGGAATTGAACCATGACCTCCTGGCTCATAGGTTGACTCTCAGCCACTGAGCCACACCAGCTGGGCCAACACCCTCTCCTTTTCTTTTGCACTCAAGACACACGTTCTCCAGGGAGAGAGAAAGGGATGTAGTAGGACTTGGGCCAGCTCCCCGCTCAGTCTCCTTTGGGTCACTGGACTGACTCTGGGAATCCAGCTGTCTCATGCAGACCCCTGTGAAGTGGCCATCCGGGCCTGGACACCTGGGGCTCAGGGGGAACTGTTGTGCTCTCTGAGGAATGGACTTCCCCCTCACCAAGCCTCTGAAGATGTGCTCACTGCACACACCTGGTTATTCAATAGTCAGAGCTGTTCTGAGAGTAATGTTCTGGGCCCCTAGGCTGCAGGTGCCAGCAACCTTATAGGGAGGACCCCAGACTCCCTGCACCCACCTCCCCTCCCCTCTGCCCTCACGTTATCAGAGCCTCTGCTCCCTGAAACCCCACTGCTGGTACTAATTTCTGTTCAGATCCAAGGTCTGAAGTTGGTGCTAGGTGGTTGTTATTGATAAATATATATATATTTGATTTTTTACAGAGAGGAAGAGGGAGGGATAGAGAATTAGAAACATCGATTAGCTACCTCCTGCACACCCCCTACTGGGGTGCCCGCAACCAAGGTACATATCCTTGACCGGAATCAAACCTGGGACCTTTCAGTAGCAGCTGATGCTCTATCCACTGAGCCAAACCGGTTTCGGCTTAAATATTTTTTTAAATTGATTTCAGAGAGAAAGGGAGAGGTAGAGAGAGAACCATTAATCGGCTGCCTCCTTCATGCCCCACACCCGGGATTGAGCCTGAAACCCGGCCATGTGCCTTAGGAGGAATGGAACCGTGACCTCCTGGTTCACAGGTGGATGCTCAACCACTGAGCCACACAGGCTGGGTAAGGAGCCGAAGGCTACTCATCAGTGTAATTGGAGTATAATGGGAGGGTCCAGGGGTCTCTTGCGGACCTCCAACCACAGGGCTCCGTGGGGCTTCAAGCACTGGGAATCCACCGTGTGATTCTTCCTGGGGCCCTGCTCTCCTGCCTCCCTTATGTCTGATGAGTTGCCTGTGTGCACACCTGAGATGGCGGGGGCAGCCCCAGGAACCCCCCCCTTCCAGACCCAGGAGCTTTCATTCCAATTCTCCAGAGAAGCCGTCTAAGTGGTCAACCCCCCTTGCCTCCTGCCTGCCCCAGGCTGGGGAGCGAGCCCACCACCTAGGTGTGTGCCCTGACTGGGAATCGAACCATGACCTCCTGGTTCATAGGTTGATGCTCAACCACTGAGCCACACGGGCCAGGCCAACACCCTCTCTTTTTTTCTTTTTTTTTTTAACATATTTTATTGATTTTTTTTTTTTTTTTTTTTTTTTTTTTTTTTTACAGAGAGGAAGAGAGAGAGATAGAGAGCTAGAAACATCGATGAGAGAGAAACATTGACCAGTTGCCTCTTACACACCCCCTACCGGGGATGTGCCCGCAACCAAGGTACATGCCCTTGACTGGAATTGAACCCGGGACCTTTCAGTCCGCAGATCGACGCTCTACCACTGAGCCAAACCGGTTTCGGCTTTAAAATATATTTTATTGATTTTTTACAGAGAGGAAGGGAGAGGGACCGAGAGCTAGAAACACCGATGAGAGAGAGAATCATTGACCAGCTGTCTCTTGCACACCCCCTACTGGGGATGTGCGTGCAACCAATGTACATGCCCCTGACTGGAATTGAACCTGGGACCTTTTAGTCTGCAGACCGATGCTCTATCCACTGAGCCAAACCGGTTTCGGCCACCCTCTCCTTTTCTTTTTAATATATTTTATTGAGTTTTTACAGAGAGGAAGGGAGAGGGATAGGAAGCTAGAAACATCGATGAGAGAGAATCATCGATCAGCTGCCTCTTGCACACCTCCTACTGGGGATGTGCCCGCAACCAAGGTACATGCCCTTGACCGGAATTGAACCCGGGACCCTTCAGTCCGCAGGCCGAGCTCTATCCGCTGAGCCGTACCGGTTTCGGCCACCCTCTCCTTTTGCACTCAATAACACAGGTTCACAGTGAGCTGCACGATGATGTGCCTCTGGACCACTGGGGAGGGGAGGAGGAGTCGTCCCATATATGAGGGGTCCCCGGAGAGCAAGGGCAGGCAGCGCCGGGGTGGAGGGGGCTAGCGTCGGGCTTTCCCTCCTCTGGGTCCCGCAGGACGCGTGGCGGCCCAGAACATGCTGGCGCAGGAGGCGGAGATCTGCACGGTGCCCTACCTGTGGACAGCCATGTTCGGCAAGAGCCTGCGCTACGCGGGTAACGGGAACCTCGGGGTGGGGCGGGGCTAAGGTGATAGCGGAGTGGGGGGGTGGGGCTTGGAGTTGGGCCGGGTCCAGGAGCATCCTATGGGCGGGGCCACGAGCATCCTGGGGGCGGGGCCAGGACAACTAGAGAAAGTGGTGAAGCACTCCCTGAAGGCGGGCACAGGAGGGGCAGATAGGAGGGCACAGGGCCCTGGCCCGTTGGAGCCCCATCGCCTCTGCTGAGCTCACGTGGACACCACTCGCCTGCCCGGCCCACAGGGTACGGAGAAGGCTTCGACGACGTCATCATCCAGGGGGATCTGGAGGAGCTGAAGTTCGTGGCTTTTTATACCAAGTGAGAGAGCAGCGGGGCGGAGAGGGGCACGAAGCAGCAGGACTTGGTCGGGGGAGGAGGGGGGAATCATTCCAGAGAAGCCTTGCTCCAGAGAAGTGGGGTGGACGGAGGGGCGAAGGGAGGAGGGGGGCGAGGCAGGAGGCACCGCTGAGGAGAGGTTGAGAGTCACACAGGTAGAGACAGTGGTAATCCCAGGACAGGAGCCCAGCCCTGAGCCCCATGGAGGAACACGGCTGGGACCTCCGTGGAAGTTCCACAGCAGCCCAAAGCCCACGATGGGCTAGAGTGCAAAGCAGCGAGGGTTGGGTGCTCAGGACACCCCTGTTGTCCTGGGTAAGATCCCTTCCTGAGTCCCAGGTGGACAGGAGTGTGTCAGGATCTTGTCCGAGAAGAGGGGGTCCCTGCTGGGGTAGTTGTCAGGCTCAGCCACCCTCTCCCCACAGAGGCGACGAGGTGATCGCCGTGGCCAGCATGAACTACGACCCTATTGTGTCCAAGGTGGCTGAGGTGCTGGCCTCGGGCCGTGCCATCCGGAAGCGGGAAGTGGAGTGAGTGTGGGCATTGGAGGTCTGGGGAAGGGGACAGGAATTCTACCGAAGGGCTGGCTCAACCTTCCTGTAGCAAGCAGCCGCACCATAACCCCCCAGGACGTCCCCCCACTCCTGGTCCCCATCAGTCTGTGGCTCCTAGTACTATGGGGTCGTGTAGGGCATAGGTTGTGAGCTGGGAGTGGGCTGGTTATATGTGCTCTTGGGAGACAAGGAAAAGGGCCGTGACCCAGGGCAGGGTCAGTGCTTGGGCAATCTCAGAGCCTAGGACATCTGATGGACATGGCTGTGCTCAGGTGGGGAAATGCAGCGAGTGGTGCCCCTGGGGAGGCCCTGCACAGATGTGGGTGGTGGTTCAGGGTTTGGGAGACACTGGACACCCGTCATTACCCTCATCCCAGCATGGCATTCATGGGAGTCCCCCTGTGGGTTCGACCTGCCTACAAAGAGCCTCAGGGACAAGGGAAAGCCTGGAGGCCATGGGGGGGGCAGGCTTCAGGCTAGCAACAACGGAGACCCAAAAGGGGACATAAATGACATGCTCTTCCCTGGCCTTCTCTGTCTCTCCCTCTCGCACTCGCAAAGGCTGTTTCTGCTGCACAGCAAGTACGTGTGTCCTGGCCTTCCTGTCGACTCTTCCGAGCCATCCCCCACTCAGCCCAGAGCCTGCACCTCATGGGCTTTCCCCTTTACCCAAGTCCGTCCCCACTGTCCTCTAGGGCCAGCTGCTCATGGTGCTGAGTGGGGAGCCCATGCTCTTCTTCTGCCCTGACCCCTCCCCCCCTCCTTCCTGCAGGACCGGCGACATGTCCTGGCTCACAGGGAAAGGATCCTGATCTTGCATGCAGCAGACTTGGGCAGGCCATGCTCGGGCACCAGGGACAGAGACCAAGCCCTGGGGGCAGGTGCCAACCTCCAATTTCCCAGGATCCCCCAAGGCAGAACCTGAGCCCTTCCAGTGCTTGCCATCAGCTGCCTGGCTCACCTCCAAAGAGGCCTCCACTGTTTCCAAGAGCTGCTCACCACCTGAGGTCTCGACTGCCACCAATGGCTGGCAGTGGAGGTGGGACAGGCCCGGCCTCATCTCCCTCTATTGAGATGGAACCCCTTGTAGGACCCTGCAACATAGTTGATGTTATCTCAAAATTAAAACGCACACATTTGCAGATCTGCGTGACTTCCACTGTAATTGGCCAAACACTTATGAGGGAGAAAGCACATGACGGGGAGATGGGCTTACAACCATACATTGCTCGGTGCCACACCAAGGAAGTTTCGCCTGTGGGTGCCCAGAAGAGGGAGCCACTGATTCTGCCCCAGGGGTTAGCAAGGGCTTCTCTATCCAGTGTCTTGGTTTTGGATATTGAAGGAAGGGCATTCCAGGTAGAAGAGACTGCAGATGCAAAGGGCTTGAGACGGGCCTTGCTTTCTCAGAGCTCAGAGGCAGCACGCGTTTGGCAGTCTGGGGGCACTTGCCCACTTAGGGCTGTAGGAGCTGGGTCCTGAGACAGACCTCAAAGCTTCTTGAGGCAGCCAGAGCTTCCCAAACCCGCATTTCGCGGGTGAAGAAACAGGCTCTGCTATTAGAAATAAGAATCCAGAGCCTCTGTGTTATGCAGCCTCTCAGCCAATAAGAACAAGGAAGGTAGACGCGGCGGTTTCGGGCTGGGGTCCCAAGCTGGAAGGGGAAGAGTAGGCTGCTGGGAGGGGGGGCCGCTGCGAGCTCGGAACCGTCCACCAGGGACCCCGGGAGCGGCGGACGATCCCGGCCGAGCCCCGCGCAGACAAGGCATGCCGGGAACAGCGGCCGCTCTCCGGACGGCGTGTGGCAGGGCAGGCGTCGGGGAAGTGCAGCCGGACGGGGTTGGGGATCCCGTGCCGGCACTCGGTGGGGAGTTTCCCCACAACCTCGGTACCAGGTGCTGCGCCCGCCAGCTGGGCCTCGGTGAGCTTTAAGCTTGTCCGGAAACGTTGAAGGACCAAAGTGTGGCGCCAGCCGGATGTGCTGCGCCGTCTTCCCGGTGCACGCCGGGAAATGTAGTCCCTCCGGGCGGCCCAGGGCGGTGGCTGCGAGTCCCGCGGACCGGGTGACCGATCTGGCGTGGACCCGGGATGGCTGGGACTGGCGGCTCCGGGGGCCCGATCGGGGCCGGGGCCCTGGCAGGCGGCGCGCGGTCCAAGGTAGCCCCGAGCGTGGACTTTGACCACAGCTGTTCGGACAGTGTCGAGTACCTGACGCTCAACTTCGGGCCCTTCGAGACTGTGCATCGCTGGCGGCGCCTCCCGCCCTGCGACGAGTTCGTGGGGGCTCGGTACGGCGTGATTCAAGAATCTTGGGTGGGGGTGGGGAGGATGCCTGAGAGGGTTTCGTGGTGGGTTCCAGGGGCAAGGCCGGGGCATGGTGTCCTGGAGCGGGACCTGATAATGGAGGGAGGAGCGGTGGTGTCCAGGAGATGCCCAGGGCACTGATGGGGATTTTGAGGGAGTCCCGAAGCGGGGTGGCCAGGGGCAAGGTATACAGTCATCTTGTGGGTCTCCAGCTGAGTTCCCTGCTGCTTTGCAGTGGGATGAGGCGGCCAGAGTCCAGGACAATGACAGAGTCTCCAATGCAGGGTTATTTGGGGGTACTGGTGGAATTTAGGGGTTTCTGTTCAATTTGAGGGGCCTGGTCTCATTCCTACCCGCCTCTCTTTTCTTTCCAGGCGCAGCAAGCACACAGTTGTGGCCTATAAAGATGCCATCTACGTATTTGGTGGAGACAATGGGTGAGTGAGTCTGAGCGTCAGGGTGTTTGGACCAGGGAGGGACACACATGGAGGTTTGGAGGAGGCTTCTGCATCTTCACTACAATTTTTTACAAATGTTAGCCAGGCATTCAACCTCGAGTTCCCAGTCTGAAAGGTTCCCTTGCACTCAAGGCCCTCAGCACAGCATCCATTGGGTAGCATATGCTCAGGACACAAAAATTTCACTCTTGTTCTGATTGAGTGAACAGAGCATTGAAAGAAACACAGCAGCCCTCGCTGCTACCCTGCCAGGCACTTGGCCTTCTGCTCACCCTCCTGTGCTTCCTCTGAATCACCTGTGAGTGAGGCCTTCCCCGCCCACCTGGACCATCTGCACCTCTTTGCGGCTCCATTGGCCCCGGAGCATACAGGTGCTCCGAGTTCTCCAGAGCAGGGCCTGTATCCCAGCACCCAGATGATTTTTAAAAATTCCTTTATTGATTTTAGAGAGGAAGGGAGAGGGAGAGATAGACAGAAACATCAATGATAGGAGAGAATCATTGATTGGCTGCCGCCTCCACATCCCCTACAGGGGATTGCAACCCAGGGCATGTGCCCTTGGCCGGAATCGAATCTGGGGTTCGCAGGCCGACCCTCTACCCACTGAGCCAAACCAGCTAGGGCGCACCCAGACAATTTAACAGATGTTTGTTCCATGAAGGAATGAAAGACATTTCATGAGAATCCCCCAAACTGGAAAATGCCTGATGTCCAGCACAGAACGGTGGGTGGGAACATCCCAGAAGTGTTCTGTAGCAGGAACTGTGGAGCAACAAGCAGAAATATTATTGCTACAATGTGACGCTAAGAAGCAGAATGCAAATTTGTCTCAATATAGCTGTAACTTTGTAGAAGGACTGGGCACAGAGAAAAATGGCCTGTAGCCCTGGGTGGGGGTGAGGGTGGGGAGGTTAGGGAGGAGGAGCAAATGGGAGAGGGGAGGAATTACTGTCATATTCTGCTTCCCAGCTCCTGGCTTCCTGGCTGCATGGCCTCAGACAGGTCATTTTATCTATCGCCCAGGCTGTTTCCCTCTTCTGTAAATGGAAGTAAGAGCTCAGCCATCTGGTGCAGACTGAGCTAGGCAGTGCAGGGGCACCCAGCACAGGCCTCACCTGGCCTGATGGGCAGGGGGTGCTGGACTCCTGTTGGGTTGACACCCTTCTTCCCTCTTAGTGACAGGCTGGGTGGTAACATGCAGGTGGTGTTAACAGATGGTGTCATGGCCAGTGGGTTTGTTTTCTGTTTTATTGTAACTTTTTTGGTTGTTTATTACTTGTCTTTAATTGAATGTATTGCAGTGACATTGGTTAACAAAGTTATATAGGTTTCAGGTGTACAATTCTAAAATACATCATCTATATATTGTATATTCACCAGCATTTTATTTTTAATATATTTTATTGATTTTTTTATAGAGAGGAAGAGAGAGGGATAGAGAGTTAGAAACATCGATGAGAGAGAATCATCGATCAGCCGCTTCTTGCACGCCCCCTACTGGGGATGTGCCCGCAACCAAGGTACATGCCCTTGACCGGAATTGAACCTGGGACCTTCCAGTCCACAGGCCGATGCTCTATCCACTGAGCCAAACTTTTATTGTATCTTTAAAATGTAGTTGCAACGTCGGTTTTGTGATAAAGAGGTGGCAAGAAGGTCAGAGAGAAGGGACGGGGCCTCCTGTGAGATGTGGGCGGGCACAGGCTGTGGCTGGCCGGGGTCATGCTTTGGTCCTGACTCCCCATAGGCGGCCCCTGTGCCTGCACCAGCTCAGGAGCTTGTGGTTCTCTCTGGTCCCTCGGGCACCAGCCGGTGTCTGGCCCTGGCTAAGTCTCCCAGGACAACTCCCTCCTCCTGGGCTGCGCAGTCCATCCTCTAGGTCTTGGCTGGGCAGTGCCCTGCGGAGCGGACCGGAGCCAAGCCCGCTCTCCCTGCCTGTGTTTCAGGAAGACGATGCTCAACGACCTGCTGCGGTTCGACGTGAAGGATTGCTCCTGGTGCAGGTGGGTCTCCGGCCCCTGCTCTTTCTCCTCGGACTTGGTCTTCACCATTCTGCTGACACCCGCTGCCTCTTGTCCTCCTGCAGGGCCTTCACCACGGGGACCCCGCCGGCCCCCCGCTACCACCACTCCGCCGTGGTCTATGGGAGCAGCATGTTCGTCTTCGGTGAGCTGCCAGGGGTCCCCGCCCCCCGTCAAGCCTCAGGCCCACGTGCTGGCCCCTCTCTGTCCACCCTGACCCTCAGCCCGGTCTCCTGGGGCGGGAACGGCCTGGGCTGGAAGGAGGCTTTCCCTCCCGCCCCGCCAGAGACAGGGAATGGCGTCCTGCCGATCTCTGTGGCCCCGGAGCCCAGCACGGACTGAGGCAGGCACCCAGGAGGCGTTCCCGAGGTGTGCGGAGAAAGTCCTGGAATGCATTTAAAAATATATATATTTTATTGATTTTTTACAGAGAGGAAGGGTGAGGGATAGAGAGCTAGAAACATCGATGAGAGAGAATCATCTATCAGCTGCCTCTTGCAAACCAAGGTACATGTGCCCGCAACCAAGGTACATGCCCTTGACCGGAATCGAACCCGGGACCCCCTCAGTCAACAGGCCGACGCTCTATCCACTGAGCCAAACTGGTCCCGGCTGGAATGCATTTTTAATGGGGCCGGGTTCTGCCCTCTCCGCCTGGGGTTTGAGGACTCTGAGATGCTGCCTTTGGGTGTGATGATTGCTCTCTCTTCACTCAGGGGGTTACACCGGGGACATTTACTCCAATTCTAACTTGAAGAACAAAAACGACCTCTTCGAATACAAGTTCGCGACGGGCCAGTGGACGGAGTGGAAGATTGAAGGACGGTGAGAGCCTGCTGAGACCTTCGGGGCTGTTCTGTGGGCTCAGGCCCCGCGGCATTACGGATGAGCCTGAGGCGTGGGTGGAAGGGACCCGGGTGTCCGGTGATGAGCGCGTCCGTGGTTCTTTGGTCTTTGGTAGCACCTGGGAGAGGTCTCTGCCTGGTGATGTCTGAATGCATCACCAGGGACCTGGTGCCACGGGAGCTC